CTTGAGATGTAATTGCGGCTGAGGGTTGCAGATTTTCTTCATCCCATTGCATCATGTTGGCAAAAAGTATCCCCCATTTCTTGCATGTTAAGGGCACTTCTAAACCATCATTCGATCAGTTCCACCGATTATTTGCGCTCTCCTTGGCAATTCATTATTTAACTGTTCGTGTTGCTGCCATTGCCGTATCCGAACCAGTGATAGTGCTTGCACATCACAACTTTCGGCTGTTGTTTTCCCAAATCTGCCTAAAGCTAGTTTCAGAAAAAAGTCCTTCTTTCTTTCAAGCTCAATGACTCATTTGGAGTCACTCTCCCCAATAGCCGTCATTTGCCAGTCTAAAGTCCCTCACAGCTCTTAAACTTCTGGGAGATGGTAACTTACCGGCTCAAGTGAAGCGGTTCATGTTGTCATCATTGATGCTCACCGCTCGCTACCGTCTGGTTCAGCACAGTACCTATCTCATTGTATTTGACTCCGACCAATTTTGTGTGCTATTTTAACAATCTACACGACAAGTTCTCCTAACTGTTTCATATATTTTCACCAGTGACATGAGTGACGGAAGCTGTTCAGCATGAAGTTGATTTCAAAAGAGGTTTTCAGTGGTGTCTGGTAGATGAGGCCCACGCAGCTCATTTTTCAAACAGCCTATAATCACGGAGACGTGTGTAGTATATATGGCGCATAGTTTAATCCCCTAGGCTTGAAGCGGTGAACCGCATACGACCCTAATTGAGTAACTAGGTTATTCCTTTGGGTGATAATGGAAGCGCTTTTCACCAAAGTAAGCGGTCAGGAATACAGTTTGAACTTGAAGCTTCATGAATTGGTACGTTACAGATGATTGTATAGATCACTCGAATATCTCTTCGTTGAGAATAAACATTAGTACATGGCCATAGGGATTCGGTAAGACTCGAACTCGAAAATGTATCATTTGTGACTCACATGCAACGGGTAGTGATGGCGCATTGGTTTAGTCACTGTCACCGGCGTGCTTTTGACCCTGTGGTCCGAGGTTCGAGCCCGCCACCGCCACCCAACTTTGGTGGTAGACAGCTTTGCTGTCACCAGATCCTATACCACGCCTGGCCTGACAGGGCCGGTTATCATCACTGAACAGCAGGTCTTCGGAACTATCCGGTTCCATCCTGTCTGCTGTTCATCACACATCAGTGTGTAATAAAGAAAGACACTATTCGTGGTTTCCGTCGGTAGGCGTCTATCGTCCTTCAGTTGTCTGGTATTTGAATTATCCGATTGCCAGCATTTTGAAAACAAAACTTTCAGTCTCCAGGCTAGGACATTCTTTAGTCATTTCCAGGTGCTGCAGATACGAATGCTCACTGGGCATAAATCCAACGTACCTAAGACATCAGTATCTGTAGTTAGAAATCGTGGAGCACAGTTGTTTGTGATCCTCTCGATCACCTGACGTTTATCGTCGTGTGTAATAAGTCTTTTTGAGTTTACTCTTGTGATGAATCGAATCCGGTAAAGTTCAATTGCAGTTAGTCTTTGCATGTTAGCAGATCTTAGGTTTACACAACCAGCCTGACACTTTAGTGCGTTGGTTTTGGTTGCTGTGTTTCGGTTGCCTATATGGTCGAACATCGATCAAAGAGTAAAAGAAAGAAGCCTAATACTACGAGCTGTGCCAAGTGGAGGGTAGAGGATTTAGGTGACCAGATTATTAAAGGTATTAAACAGAACTATTTGCGCCGTTACACAGTGAGTTACGATTCATGTCACTACCCGATGAGCCAACTCTACACGGTTCATAGTGCTGCACATAGTTGACGACAACTTCACAAAAAGTGCTTAGAGAATCATGTTTACGATATCGGTCGTGAGTATACCACAGTATGCACATATGGTTTTATTCTGTCCACCGTGTCTTTCATTACCCGTTGATGCATCGTCGTTCACTTCCATTGGCACGAACCTATTTGGTTTTCGCTCTTTTATGATTCTCACCTTTGGGATTTACCCTGCCCTGGTCCGTTTTCCGGGAGTGCTGTCCTCAGTCATGGCACATTTGAGCTCTTCCAGATTTGTCCGTTTCATTTTCGTTTTGGATTTCACGTCTTTCTTTTGAGTTCTGGTCAATCCGTACCGGGTTCTGCTCTGTTGTCATTCCTCTGCCAGTCGACTTTCGTCATTCGCATGCACAATTGCCTATCATCCCTTGGTGAATGACCTCTGTGCTCAGTNNNTTGCTTGCGGCAGTTAGCACGTGACAAATTTCACCCCAATCGGCCGTTTCATTCCACCTACAACCCACCATTTTCACAATCTGTCGATCACTTGACCCAGTTCTCGAAGCGTTTTGTTTTCTTTTCTCGCACTGTACATTATCTGGTTGTCAGATCCGCTCCACTTTGCAATACTTGTTTGTTTTCACACTTCTGCAACAGCGGGAGAAGAGAGAAATAGGAGACGATATAACTGACCGACTTAATCCAGATAGAATGTTACCGATAGATGCCCAAACTTGAAACGGCCGCAGAATTCTATCCTCTTTGCCCTGATTCTCGCAGGTTAATCTTTTTAACGTGTACCCCATTGTATTCCCCTATTCGACACCTGTGATAATGCATCTCCTCGATCTGGCGCACCGTTCACGAGCTTGATTTGAGCCTCATCGTCGTTTGGTCAAGCTTGTTGATTCAAAGCATCCGGTATGGGTTCGGAATACAAACGCTCCTTCGTTGATTGATGTTTCAGACAAAATGTGCTATAAACTTTCGTGCATCCGTCTCTAAACGACCCCATTTCTCAGATCACCGTTCACATTGGAACGGTGAATGAATCATTCGTCCCAGCAACTGTGATTTATTGTGATTCAAACGGAGAACTATTAATTCAACTAGAGGAATCACTATCATGGGTTTTCACAATATACCTATGATCATTTCGCTGCATCTATACACATGCACGTACTGAAGTCAGGATACATTTCATAGTCTGTGAAATAACGAACGTAAAACGAAGTCATGGTTACTGTTGTCGATCTACAACAGAAAACACGCAAAAATGACCGGAGTGGGGTCAATCACCAAGACACTGCTGTTGTGCCGAGTCTTTCTCGTTGTTTGTCTGTATCGGGTTTGGGATTGTGAATGGCCGTGGCCTCGGCAAATTTCAGTCATTTTGTGTTGTTGTAAGTGATCTGAAATGAGCGGATTGGAGTGTTATGTTTCTTTTCTTATCAGCGTTGCGTAATCGAATACCCGAGTCTTCTCTTCCCAGCCGATGACGTAATAGTTTCAGATATGTCGTTCATCTCTTCCTTACATCACATCGGGATATGTTCAGGTATTAGGGGGCGGTTTATGACTGTCTCTTTATCTATCACGGAAAAGCCGAGCACATCCGGCTGTTTCCTACGAAGGAGATGAAGGACAAATTTGAACCTGTTATATCACCTAAAGAACCGAAAAGATTCAAATTTTCCATTACGCAACACCTATAAGAAAAGAGACAATATCTAAC